CAGGCCGACGCGCGAGCCGGGGCGGGGGCGCCGGGCCGGGGGCGCGCAGCGAGTGCCGCGGGGCGGGCGGCGGCGGGCGGGGCGGCAGCGGGCAGGCCGCTCCGCTGGCCGCCGAGGCCCGCGGGGTCCTTTTCCCCGGGCTCCGGGACGACGGCCCAGTCTTCCTTCTCCTGTCGGCGAGGGGAAATTGCGTGTGCAGGTGTCTTCAGGAAAAAACAAAAAGCGGCCCAAGTGCCACCACCACCGCAGCCGAGTGGCTGTAGCCGGGGTGGAGGGTGTCCCTCTGCAGACCGCCCGGAGCGGCGGCTCCCGGCAGCGGTTGTGCCGCGTCCCGGGGGATGGCGACCGGAGACTAGGGCCCTGTGGAGCAGGCAGCGATACCTCTTGAGAACCCGGAACAGCCCAAGAAACTCAGACAAAGCCACTGACTGGCAACGCGCAAATTGTAATGTTGGGATAGAACTTTTATCCAGACGAGCCGTTTTGAATTATTAACGTGCAGCCGAAGGAGCATTAAGCAGCATAAAATGGACTTCAGGAAGCACTTCTTCAGCCCTGAGAGGTGCTTCTGGGGTCCTGTCTGGTGTTCTAATCTCGCCTTTTCCTAATTTTGTCCTAAAATTATTCAAAAGGCCAACTTTTGCCTCTTGGCTTTGAAATATCAAAAGCACATTTTGTAAGATTTCAAAACTTTTACCAATACTTTTCAAATATTAGAAACAGCTATGGTTCTGTTGTGTTTACGCTGAAGGAGACAGACAGCTCTTCCATTCTGTTTGCTCCTCTGTACTGTAGTAGTGTCTCAGCCTTCAAAGTTAGCCACTAATTTTCCTAAACTTAAGTTTTCAAGGCATTTAGCACATTAATTTCCAAGTGAAGAAGAAAGAAAAGATCTAAGTTATTTCTCTTCCAGATTGTAACTTCGTGCACAGAAATTGATATTAAAATTGCTTGGATATATCCAAGAACATTGCTTTCCACTGTTTTTTAACTTTCAATTGTAGGGTTCATCTAAGGGATTTATTCATATTCTAGAGAGAAAGATTGATTTGGGCAGACAAGATACCAGTTACTATCTTTGATCTATTTTAAGGGTAAATTTCTGATAAGGATGGGTTCCTGTTTGCAATAATCGAAAGCATTGTCGGGTTATGTGAAGTTTAATAAGTAACACTATTCTAGTTCTTAGTTCTTCCACCAAAATTGGTGGTGAATACACTAGCAATTGAGTGAACATGGAGGCTAACCTAAGTTGTTTAGGATTTGGAGTGAAAGAATGTTCATTTTATGCCTACCATAAATAATGTTGTGGATGTTCAGCTTTCACATGGCTCCTGCTAATGTGACTTTTTTGGGAATAAGTAATTCAGAAAGAACACTTTTTCCCCTCAGCCCATAGAGTCCAAGTAAAGTCTATATTATAGGGATGCTTAAATTTATTTGTGCCCCAAAGTCTATTAGAACAATTGTACTGATTTGTGAGTTTGTAATTTTCAAGTATTCAGTGTGCTTGGTTGTGGGGAAAAAAAAAAAACCTCATTATGTTGTATCATGGATTTATTTACATCATTTGATAACATTTTCCTGAAACAAAGATTTTTTAAGTGGGAAAATTTTCTATTTGAAATTGAATAATGAGCCAGTAATTTTTGGGTTCAGTCTGGGTCCCTATTTTCTGTTTAATATTGAGAAGTTTTTTAGGGAATTGTTTATTTATCTGTCAAAACTATCATGAGAGCCCATGGAGGTGGCCTGCACCTGTAATCCTAATGACTCTAGAGGCTGAGGCAGGAGGATTATAAATTCGAGGCCAGCCTCAGTAATTTATCAAGGCCCTAAGCAACTTAGCAAGATCCTGTCTCAGAATAAAAAGGACCTGCTGAGGATGTAGAGTGCTTGCTTGGCATGCAGGAGTCCCTCAGGTCAATTTTCAGCAACACACACACAGACACACACACACACAAAGAAAATAAAAAATAAAAAGGACCATGGATGTAGCTTAGTGGTGAAGGGCCCCTGGGTTTAATCCCCAATGCCAGAAAAACCTGTTATATGATTTGTGATTCCTCTATTGTCATATCTTCAAGTTCAGTGGGTCTCATTTTAGTTCATATTTTCTCCAGTAATATTTAAACATTTCTTTTATTTTGGAACCATATTTTAAGAATTATAATTAACATATGTTTGATTCATTTGAAGAGATTGGAAAAGGAAATTTCAGATAAAATAAAATTACATTTTTTCAGAGCATATTTTTTGAGTGAGTAAAAACGTCTCATTTAATCCTTCTAGTTATGCTACAGTATTGGTGGGTTATTTTGGTACCAGGGATGTTTAACCGCTGAGCCATATACCAGCTCTTTCTGTTTTGTCTATTTTTTATTTTGAGACAGGGTCTCCTGGGTTGCTCAGGGCTTCTGTAAGTTGTTGAGGCTGCTTTGAATTTGGGATCCTGCCACCTGAGATATTTTACTGGTGTAGACTCTGAGGCTGGAAAAGCTAAATAATTAGCAAAAAAGTCACATAATTACTAGATAAAAGAGCTGACTCAGACCTGGGATTTATGTCCCAGCTGCTTTACTGCTGTCACCATGTGTCACTATTAAACTTTGAAGCAATTTGGGCACAGTGGTGCTCACCTGTAATCCCAGCAACTCCAGAAGGTTGAAGCAGGACGAGGATCACAGGTTTGAGGCTAGTGGGGCAATTTAGGGAGACTATCTCAAAATAAAAAGGGCTGGGAATGCAGCTTCATGGTAACATGCCCCTGGGATCAGTCCCAAGTACTGCAAAACAAAACAAAACAAAAAAACCTTGAAGCATCTTCTGTGATGACAGTTTTTGTTTTTTTTTTTAACTGTGAACAGTTTTGTAATACTGTACTTGCCCTTACCTCTAATTTCCTTTTTAATATTATTTGTACCCTGCCAAATATTCACTTATATGGTGAAGAAATTGTTCAGTCTTGCAAACCACAAAATAACACTTGCTTTTGTTTTTATTAGATCTGAATGCTATGAAATATAGAAATTTATATCGTTTATATAGGACAGATTTGTGACCTTGCTGTGATTGTTTCATGGTTTTAACTTGTTATGTAAATAGTTCCTAAATGGTACCTTTAAAATATTTTGTGAAAATTTAAAAATTAATAACATTCAATACTGTTAAAGTTTGGTCAGCTAATATTTATAATTATTCATTTCTAAATTTTTTTTTTTAGGCATTTAGAATTCTGAAGGATTTTATTTTTTCTTTATATCTTAGGATTTGATATGGAGTTTGATGGGTCTAGTCAGTCTCTTTTGCATATATCTTGAAAGCAGTCAGCGTCCAACAAAATGAAAACTGATAAATGATCCCTGTTAGAGGAACACCTCAGATCAGGATGTTCCTTGGCACAGTATTCTGACCTGGTTTAGCTTTGGCCCTGTCTATGCTCAGGGGTTAGGTATTCTTTAGAATTTGATTCAGAGGACTTAACTTCTCAGATTGACCTGTATAACAAAATAGTCAAATTTTAAAATGAGCCTGTTTTCTCTGGGATCCATTTTAAGATCCCCTTTTCTTTTACTTAATCAAGGAGTCTAGAGTGGATTTGGACAGGCCTTGGAAGTTATAGGCATTTACACAAAGGAATTTTTATGAGTCCAGAGTTTCTCTAAGTATTTCTTTTTTTAACATATATTTTTAGTTGTAGATGAACACAATACCTTTATTTTATTTATTTTTACATGGTGCTGAGGATCTAACTCAGTGCCTCACACATGCTAGGCAAGTGCTCTATCTCTGAGCTACAACTCCAGCCCCTCTAAGTATTTATTATATTTCTAATATTTTCAAGTGTGAGGTTTACCAATCTTCAGCAATGTTTCCCTATGTACCCAAGACAATTAGCTTCAGTATATTTATTTTTAATCCATTGTTAGTTAGACTTGTGCCTGTTTACTTCTTATGTAATATTTTTGTTTGCTTTCTGTATACTAGGTGAGAAACTAATTATTAATTCATAATGTTTTCCTGGCATTGGTTATGCCCCTCAGTGATTATTACTGTGCATATATAATAATAATTTAACTTGTAATCATTTTTATCTAAAAATCTCTTAAGATCCAAATAACATTAGGATATAGTAGCAGTGTTTTTTTTTTTTTTCTGCTTGTTTGTTTTTGGTATGGGAATTGAACTTGGGTGCTTAACCATCAAGCCACATCCCTAGCCCTTTTTTTATATTTTATTTAGAGACAGGGTATCCCTAATTTGCAAGTGCCTCCCTAAGTTTCTGAGGCTGTCTTTGAACTCAGGATCCTCCTACCTCCAGCCAGTCGCTGGAATTACAGGCATGCACCACTACGCCCAGCTCAGCAGTGTTTTTAAAGAAGTAAAGATTTTTCAGGGAGTCAGTTTTATCTATGTATTAACATACAATTTTTTACTGAGGGGGAAAAAAATCACATTACATAAAATTAACCATTTCAAAGTGAACAGTTAGTGGCATTTAGTATATTTACAGTGTTGTGCAACTACCACTTTTTAATTCATCACCCCC